GCTGCAGGAAGGATGGAGAGAGTGTGAAGTCTCGTGGGGTCTGTGTCAGCTCAGGCTGTTGTAACAAATTACCGTGGACTGGATGGCTTAAACATCAAATATTTATTTCTCCCAGTTCTGGAGGTTGGGCCAGTATGGTTGGATTCTGGTAGAGCCCTCTTTTGGGTTGCATACTGACTTCTCCTAATGTCACAACTAGCTCTCTGACCTCTTCATAGAAGGGCACGTTCCCATTCATGAGGGCTCTCTGCCCTTACAACCTAATTACCTCCCAAGGGCCACACCTCCAAATAGCATCACTGGGCCTGGGGTTTCAACCTGTGAATTTTGGGGACACACAAACATAACATAATAAAGTTATCACTTTCTTACTCTTTGGTTTATCTATAACCTTCCTTATTTCAAAGAAACTGAGTCTCCGCCCCCCACAGTGCATGTAATTGCACTCACACAAGATGCAGTATACATTCAGATGGATTCCTTCAAAACACCTAAAAGCCACCAATGTCCTGAACAGCACCTTGTCCACGTACCCTGGTCCCTGGCTTACTGAGTGTTCAGCCAGGCACTGCTGCATGCATTCACACACATCAACTCCTTTGGTCCTCACAAACCTCCAGGAAGGGTGTTCATCCCCATTTTACAGATGAGGAAAGTGAGCCACAGAGAGCCACCCTAAGGTCTCCAGGGATGGTGAGCTGGAGAGTTGGGGTTTGAGCCCAAGCGCTCACACTCTGGAGCCCCAGCTCCACCCCTCTGCAGAACTGCTTCTCAGACACGCTCTAAGAACACACTTGTGCAAATACACACAAACATGCTTTTATCTACAGTCCTATTTCCACCAACAGGCTGTCATGTAGCCAGCTCTATGCCTATACAGCAAGGCAGTATCTTCCTTTCTTTCTTTTTTAAAGATTTATTTATTTATTTGAGAGAGAGAGCGCGTTCGTGTGCACATGCAGGGGGAGGGGCAAAGGGAGAGGGAGAGGGAGAGAATCTCAAGCAGATATCCCGGCTGAGCACGATCTCACGACCCTGAGATCATGACTTGAGCTGAAATCAAGAGTTGGCCACTTAGGGACGCCTGGGTGGCTCAGTCGGTTGAGCGGCTGCCTTAGTCTCTGGTCGTGATCCCGGGGTCCTGGGATCGAGTCCCGCGTTGGGCTCCCTGCTCAGCGGGGAGCCTGCTTCTCCCCCTGCTTGTACTCTCGCTCACTCTCTCTCGCCCATGCTCTCTCTCTTTAGCAAATATATAAATAAAATCTTAAAAAAAAAAAAAGAGTTGGCCACTTAATCAACTGAGCCTCCCAGTGGCCCCAAGTGTCTTTCTTTTACCTCATGGTGAGGAGATTGCAGAGCCCAGATTTCCAGGAGTTTGGGGAATTTCTAGTGTGTTACACCATGCAATGCTGGAATTGTCAGATCATAGGCATGTGATCTATTAATTATTTATTAATCATGCAGATTCAAAGCAATGCTAATAAAATATTAATAATCTCGGGCGCCTGGGTGGCTCAGTTGGTTAAGCAACTGCCTTCGGCTCAGGTCATGATCCTGGAGTCCCGGGATCGAGTCCCGCATTGGGCTCCCTGCTCAGCAGGGAGTCTGCTTCTCCCTCTGACCCTCC